TAACTGACATGTCACTGGTATATTCTCCATCTGTGAATGTTAGAAAGCCATGGAAATATTTCAATTTATTTCAACTCCGCTAAACTTCACAACGAGCGCCGCCGCGCGCATGCGTGCCAAACAGACAGAACTCAATTAAATAGGAGAGCAATAATTCTGACTAAAATATACATTTCGCTGAAATATTTGTAGTCGGACAATAAATGTGACATGTAGAATTTTAAACCTACAAGTAAGTCTATTTTTATGATAGCACTGACTGTATAGTGATTGTAATGGGGTAATCAAAATAGCCTAACACAACCTAACAAATGCTTTTGTTCTCATTTTTTTATTTTAGTGAATTTAACTTCCACTTTAAAAGCCTTATTTTTGTTTTTAGATTGCAATGTTACAGTGTTAGAATGAAATGTGATTTTAACCCTTTTTTGCACATAATATAAAGGCTTACATGGTTACATTCACTTTATTTGTTTTCATAGCCTTTAATATGTATTGTTTTGCTGGACAACATTGGGCGGTAAGTGATATATATATATATATATTAAATACAGATTTTTAAAATCTAAATACAAAAATGAAAATACCGAGATATATACCGCATATCGCAAATCAGCCAAAAAATACAGAGATATTAATTTTTGCCCATATCGCTCAGCCCTATACAAACCTTAATTTCACTGGAGAAGTCCATCAAATCTTCAGGACTAGCTCTCTCCTGAAGAGGATGAAAAGCCCGCGCTCTGACTGTAACCCAGCAGCTGGGTTGAAATAACCACTTGCTGGGTGGTTGCGTCGGAGGGAGATGTATTGTTTGAGCAGTCAGTGAGATTGATCCAGCCACTAACGTTACGCCTACGTCATTCGCTGGAACGCCACTCTCTCGTGTACGCGTGTGTGACAGTTAGCGGAAGCTAGAGATTACTGTTTATCAAGTTCTAAATATGGACATTTTTCTTACAAAAACGCATCAATTCGCTTCAGGAGGCCTTAATTTACCCCCCTGAACCGTGTGGGACACTTTTTATGATGGATGGATGTGCTTTATTGGACTTCTTTTTGTCTGTTGAAAAATAACACCCTTTCACTGCCATTATAAAGCTTGAAAGAGCCAGGACATTTTTTAATCTAACTCTGATTAGATTCGTCTGAAAGAAGAAAGTAATATACACCTAGGATGCCTTGAGGGTGAGTAAATCATGGGGTAATTTTCATTTTTGGGTGAACTGTCCCTTGTAGGAAGTAACTCTGTGATTATGGCTCTGCTGTGTGAGGCCCATGTGAGCTTGTGTCTTAACCATAAAGTGAATTGTTTGTGCCTAAACATTCTTGTTTATTCTTCAGATTTTATTGCGTAATATTCTCTTTTTTGATCTCAGTTTTTCTCTCTCTCTCTTTTTTTGTAAACACACACTCTCTCCATGGGGCGTCTGGATTTTACATAATTATTTTTTCTCTCGTAATCTGCCTATGAAGCGAGGGCTCTGCAATGAAAAATTAAAAGCATATTTAGCTGCTGGGAGAGCCACAGAGGCCTTGGGCAGGCCAGCCTGGTCCGTGCGGCTGTCTGGGCCGGGATCGGTGGGTGTAAAATGGGAGGGGGGTCTGACAGACATGCTTTAAAGAGCTTTTGGGATTTGCATTATTTGGCCTTTACTACATTTGTGTGTTTGAGGAGTCTGCTGTTGCTTTCATATGGCTATATCAGATGAAGCTGTTATTAAACTAGAGCACAGTAAACTGCCTTAAACACACACACACACACACAGTTTTGAAATGCATTTTTTTTGGACTTCCTCTTTCTTCACCTCATTCACATCACGTGTGACGTGCAACCGAAAGCACCACATTAACAGGAAATTGGGCCACTTTTACTTCATGTGCGGTCTCACATAATACCTTGGCATTGTCTTTGAGCAGTGTTTATATTGTGGTAATTTAAGGTTTTACACAGTGTTTCTTATTTAAGCCATTATAATATTTCCTCTGTACTTCTGTTTTGGATTTTTGAGAATGAGCTGCTGGGACTGTTTCTGCTACAGTCATCATTATTATCGCCTATTATTTTTCTCTCTTTCTCTCAGATCACTAGATGGTCGGTTGCAAGTATCTCACAGAAAAGGACTCCCTCATGTGATCTACTGTCGTCTTTGGCGCTGGCCTGACCTGCAGTCTCATCATGAGCTCAGAGCCATTGAACTCTGTGAGTTTGCCTTTCACATGAAAAAGGACGAGGTCTGCGTCAATCCCTACCACTACCAGCGGGTCGAGACACCAGGTAATACAACCTGATATTTATGAAAGCATCAAGCACTCTATCAGACAGTATCATTTGTTTAGGCATGAAGTCTTCTACAAGGGGTTGATCACAGCACTGCAGGGGATCTGCCAATTATTGTTTGATTTTGAGCATGCACAATTTCTTTGGACAATGCTACAGATGGGATTAAATCTTAAATTTAACTTTAATAAACTGAGCTTTGAAATGCTTTTGTTTCTGATATTTCCGTATTTGTATGCGTACTGCTCCGGGTGTGTTTTCACTGCTCACTGCTGTGTGTGTGCACTTGGATGGGTTAAATGCAGAGCACAAATTCCGCTGGCCTGACCTGCAGTCTCATCATGAGCTCAGAGCCATTGAACTCTGTGAGTTTGCCTTTCACATGAAAAAGGACGAGGTCTGCGTCAATCCCTACCACTACCAGCGGGTCGAGACACCAGGTAATACAACCTGATATTTATGAAAGCATCAAGCACTCTATCAGACAGTATCATTTGTTTAGGCATGAAGTCTTCTACAAGGGGTTGATCACAGCACTGCAGGGGATCTGCCAATTATTGTTTGATTTTGAGCATGCACAATTTCTTTGGACAATGCTACAGATGGGATTAAATCTTAAATTTAACTTTAATAAACTGAGCTTTGAAATGCTTTTGTTTCTGATATTTCCGTATTTGTATGCGTACTGCTCCGGGTGTGTTTTCACTGTTCACTGCTGTGTGTGTGCACTTGGATGGGTTAAATGCAGAGCACAAATTCCGAGTATGGGTCACCATACTTGGCCACATGTCACGTCACTTTCACTTTGTCACTTTTGAATGGAAGTCAAAGGAATGAAAACTGTAGTGTAAAGTGTAGTGTGACCACCCATTTAAACAAAAATATGATAATTAACTTCAACCAAAGTTAAAGATTTTATATATTAAATAAATAATAACTTTAAAATGTAATTGAATCTGCAAAGGTATTATAATATAATCATTATGAATGTATGCATGATCACAAAGTGTGTAATTACCAGGGGTGTGGACTCGAGTCACATGACTCGAGACTTGACTCGGTCTCGAGTCCCAAATTTGATGACTTGCGACTCGACTCGACATAATTAAAGAAGACTTGAGACTCGACTTAGACTTTGACAGCAATGACTCGAGACTTGACTTGGACTTGAGCCCTGTGACTAGTATATGTCATATGTATATGCTAGTATAAATTAATGGAGTAATAGCATAACTTACGTCAAAAGAACCGAGATAAGAAAAAGAAAAAAAAGACACAATTCGTATATAGCTATCTCCGCTCGTGAAAAGCGCTGCCCTGCCCGTTTGATCGCCGCCCAGCAGACACACAGAGTGGGCATGAGAAACGAGAGGCGCGGCCGCAATCACTTCACTGGTGCTCGCCTCATCATCACCGTGACCGCTTCTGTTAAATATTCCTCACTTCTT